ACAGGTCGGGGCCCCCCTGGGCGCTTCGCGCTGGGGCCCCGCCCAAAAAATCCGTTGCCAGCCTCCTTAGCGGCAGGAGGCCATCCTTAGTATGAAATCAGATGCAAACGTCTGTCCCTTAACACACCATAGAGTATACAAAGGCTGTGTTCTGCCGTTCTGCCCGTTCTGCCGTTCTGCTAACCTGCACCGCCCCACTAGTCACTCGGAATAGCCACCATTCCCTCGGCCACGGTACGACGGTAGACTATTTCCGCCTGTACGTGCGGGCCTTGGATTTCAGGGTGCTTGGGCTGCTATGTAACGAAAAGATACGCCATGATAAGACTTGGCACTCGGCGGCAATGGAAATCAACACGGCCTTAGCAGAGGCCGGGATGGGACGTTTACAAGGGGATATTAGTTGGCAGCTTGCACGGGCATGTCCCACGTGTGTGAGGGGCAACAGCGGGAAGTTTCTGGCTCTTCGTTTTTTAACTTTTATGCTTGTCTCTATTTATGGCAGGTCCATACTTGAGGCGACGAGTACGTCCCTGGCGCCCCTACGGCTCAAAAATAGGGATGTAAGGGCATGGTAAGCCTGGTGCTGAAGCCGTTGAATCCGCGACTGGCGCGTCCGTCCCACTTCCGATGAGTGTACGGCACCTACCGTACTGTATAAATGCATATTCCTGAGCGGTTGCGGCTTCTGAGTCCTAATTAAAAAATTTAGCATTCCCTGACAATTCCCACTGATTGCATCGGCAGCCATTCGCTTGCTGCTGATGCACGCATCAACCTGCTCGTCCGAGCGCAACTGGTCGGCATGGGGCCTCGTCTACACGAAGGCGCGCAATCAGCTGGCCATTGAGCAGGCGGAGAAGATCGTTTACATCCGTGGCAACGCGGGCTTGCAGGGCAACCAAGGCGCTGCGGCGGATGAGGTGGAGCTGATTCTCCAGCAATTTCACCTTAATTTCACCGATTGTTGTGCTTTCGAAGCAGCTTCTTCACAACGTTCGCTCGCCTGTCCGTTCCTGGCTTCGGTCCAGGTTTTCGCTGGTCAGGCAGCATCTGACACGGCAGCAGCTGAGATGGAGGTGGGAGTGCGACCAGTGGAACGGGGAAGCGGAGAGGACACACATCGGTAAGCGGAGCCGTTGGGAAGCCCAGGAGCACCTTCACTGCTGAGACGGACGGGTTCGTTTTAAGGTTAGAGGTGGTAGCGACTTTAACCTTTGTAAACCCATCGCCGCCGCCGGAGCAGTAGGCAGCCCCAGAGCAGACGTGGCATGGTCCGCTAGGGTCGCTGTTGGCCATGGACAGCCCATCTGCGTGTGCATGCCCAACAACAACAGGCTTTGTGACTGTGGAGCGGTTGAAGACGATTTAACATGTTTTCGCGGACTGCTCTGCTAAGTTCGACCATGACCTCGTCTTTCAAGGGCGCAGCATGCACACCAGTATAAATTAGGCGCCGACCCTGGCATTGGCCAGTTATCTCTCGGGAGTCCAAGCTCGGGCACGTTGTGCTAAGGAGCCTCACGCTGAAGCGGACGAGGGAGGACGATAATCGCCCTCCGCGAACCAGCCTCAACACCAACCTAGCGTCCATGGTCCTCCGGCCTTTACTAACAACCCCGCACGTGTGTGCGGAACTTTTACTAAAAGCGCCTATTAACTGTAGCTGTACGAAAAAAATAGCGACGTCGAAATAGTTACAAAAGATGATGTTCACACCACATCCTAGCGCCGTGTCCGCCAGACTACTTTTCGGAAAGCATACTCAATCCGGAGACGGCGTTTTGTTGCTTAGCAACTGAGGACCATCCGGCCCGTCAACAACATCATAAAATCATGTCACGGCATTTAACCAAAATATATTGAAAAAGTTATCCCGCAGAATATTAGCACTTTGCATCGCGCTGGTATTGTATCAGTGTCGTGTAGGTTTCAAATGCAGAGCAACCGTGTATGCCATTTACATCCTATGTGCAGTTTCACGTTAAAATTCATAGCCAGATTTCACGCACATTACACAGTACAAGCGGAACGCAAAGCAGAAACAGCAAAATATATTCCGGGTACGGTTCCGTGCCAGTTAGAAGTCGACAACTATCCGAAACAGCAATAGATAGTCCAAATAACACGTTAACTAGTTAATAGTTTTTGCTTAAGCAACGTTCTTGGCACCGTTATATTCCGCACTTTCTGCTTGGGCGGTACCAGCCAAGCCGACAAGGATGGCAAGCAAGAAGTTCATCGTCGCTGATGCGACCTGTCCGCAAGCCTCGGCGCGCAGGTATTTAAGGGGGTCACCACGGACGTTGGGAACATCGAGGTAAAGAGCCGCGTTTTCGGGGTCCTCGTCAATTAGGTTGATGTCGACGATGCGAGACGTTGCGCGGACGATAAGCAGCGCGGAGTTCACAGCCAGGAACATGATGAACATGCTGCGTTCAGGCACGGCAACACAAACCTTAGTTAAATTTTACGAGTGACGGCCCATTGGTTGCATCCCAGACTACTAGCAAACCAATCATGCAGACCTAAAACTCCTTCAACGTGGACGACGGAGCAGAATTACCTGTGTGTCCTCTGCAAGCCCCTCACAATGCAGGCGATGAGAATGAGCACCAGGTTGATGAACTGGGCGCTCACTGTGTACCATTCCAGCATAAAAACTGTCTGCTTCAGAGCTTCTGATACACTCGAATTTGAAATAGCTTGGGTCAACTTGCCCAGCCCGGCCTGCAATAGAGATAAATCGCATGTCGTCAACACCGTGACGTCACGAGAAGTGACCATTGGTCAAGTTTTCATATTGCTGCTTAAATTAGATCCTATCATGCGTTGCCTAAGGTACCTCCGTGAAAAGTCAAAGCATTCTCCAGACAGGGTGTAGCCAAGGGCCGGCTCCGGCCTAATTCTGGACAGCGAACCTCACCAGGTATATGGCCCAAGGCACAAATGATAACACCGCCGCCACGGCTGTGGCGATAATCCAGTACTTCGCCATGGAGATGTTGAACTTAAACCTCTTGAAACGAGAAAACCGGTGTGACAGCGAGGAGATGGGCAGAAATTACGTTAACAATAAGAGCTTTGAGTTAAATGTTGCTTAATATGTTGTTTGAAAAGCTGACGCGCTTTCGTCGTACCGTACGGTGGATGAGCTCCGCCGACCGGGGACCGCATTCTACAAATTGCGCGATAGCTTTAAAACGCCGTGCTGGGCTCGCAGACTAGGAGTACACCTACTAGAGGCACACAGCCGCAACGAAGTCAACTTTTCAACTGAGCCTTCCGTCAAACTCCTGCTGGACAGCCTTTAATCTGCCCAAATGGCTAAAGGACTCAACATACCGACAGCAATGATGGCCCTTCTTGGTATCGCTCCCTGGGCGGTGTACCTGGTAGGTTTGGGAATCTTGCGTCGCCAACCATTGAACTCAAAAATCACCAACTCCCGATCCTTATCTGCTTTATCACACTTATTGGAAGCAGCTTCGTTTCAAGCTTGCAAGTCCAGTAACCTCTCCATGCGCACTAAGCGGTTCACTTGACCATCCGTTAGGCTAGAGGCACGAGTTTCAACTAATCATTTCCTATAACATGTAATATGGTGCTATGTATGTAACGGTTCACTCTGCACACGGCATAGTTGCTTCAGTCGTCGCAGAAACAACTCAAGTCAACGGATTTGAATATTGCCTTCTATACGCTCCTATATGCAGGGAGGTCTTGCGAAATTGACCGACGTCTTAACCGACTTCGATTTTCGTCAGGTTACAAAGCAATATGTTATCATGGTACGTTGCTTGGTTTCCGCGGGGTCCCTAAGGCGCCCGGGTCTCTTATCATGTTTTGAGTTTTACGGTTTCCGTTACCGGTGGTCCTCTGGTTGCAGCTCGAGTGGTACATCGTCAGCTCCCAGCTGATCAACCTTATTATCATCGTCATCCTCGGTTTCGCGAATGGCTTGCACCGAGCGCATTCCTTTTTGAACATGTTCCTCGCCGTTGCGTCGACTCTGATGATCCTGCAAGCCACCCTACGAGTACAGGAGATCAACGCCGTACGCGATGGCATTGTTCTACCGGGTGACGCTGTTGTAACTCGACTCCTTGGCATGAAGGATAGTCCCCTGCCGTACCTCCGGGCCATGGCGACTGGGCAGATCGCCACCGCGACATGGAACTTCTTCCTAGCAATTCTCATTAGCTTTGCTGGTACTGAGGCGGCTGTGCGCTCTAAGAGTCCCGATGCCCAGGGTCAAAAGGCAATGATGGCATAGGGGCATCTGCGATCCTTGCCCACAGGGGCTACAGGTTTTGTGACAGGAAAGGCGTTTCATATCATTAGCCATATTGAACATTACAAGCGCGTCTTGCTGGACTGAGCAGATCTGATATGGGTTTCCCACGCTTTGAGCATATGATGGACGCTTTGAAGTGGGAACCTGAACGTCCGGCGAAGATGCTGGAACGTATGTGGTCCCACCGCAACTCTATCGTCCCCTTTGATCGTTTCTCTTTTATAACTTGCTTTGTCTGAATTGCAAGGTAGGATGCTGCTTATAGGCAATGTGGCAGCCCTTGCGCCCTCGGGCTCGTATTGGGCGGTTTGCAGGGTATGCACCGCCACGACCACGTAACACACATATCGTTAAGCCATGCTTCTATGCTACCGTACGCAACGGTCGTATTCAGCATATTAAGCATACGATATACATCGATGTATGTGTCAATTTAACTGCGACGTTGGGTATCTATAACGCTGAGACCGTAGATTGTTCCCGTGCAAGGCATGAGGTAACATAGGCTGTATCGCTATTGTGCTATCGTTTCAACGTTTGGAACTGTCCTAAAGTCGGCGAAAGTCGCGTTGAGCCTGCACCTTGGTTCGTCCAGGTTTACGGGCCTCGAGTGCCCTGCTGGAATACAAAGCTATAAAACGCTGGTTTAGGTGTCGATGATGTTAAGGGTTAGGCGTCGATGATTTACACCCTGCACTAAGGTGCGGTATGCGCCCCCTTGATCCCGTCGGATGCATTGTAAAACGATTTTTATCCCGCAACCTTCCTACACTATCGGGCACGTACAACTTTCTCGTTTCCCGCTTCCATCATACAGGCGTTTAGGGAGCGGCTGTTGAGACGTGCACGTGTGAGCACCCGGCCAAAAGGGGCGTCCATTGGATAGGGAGCCGGCGTTCGCAGCCCTGCAGCCATCGGTAGTTGTTGGGGTACAACTGGCTAGATAGGTTTCCAGATTATCAATTCCCCGTCCCCACAGTTTAGTTCACTATTAACCAGCACCCATGGCAGCGTTTTCTATCTCCGCGTCGTTGGCGGTTTTGGCGCCTACACCTACGCAATTGGACAATAAAGCGGTGAAGTGAAAGGATCCCTTTGTGCGGAGAAGCGCGTCTCAGATGGGGTCCAGGACAATACGGGATAGGAAAACCTGATGTACATGTGGTAAAACAGACATGCTCCGAGAACCTCAGCACAAGCACCCCGTGCACGTGGCCATTGCTGACCAATATAGCTGAACAGGCGTTACAGGTAAATACTCGTCCATGGATTCTGCCGTACGGCATTGACGTTTTGCCGTGCTGTGGTTGCATACCGCGTTGTTTTAAATAACTTGTCATCATTGTTTTTGTATTTCTGGGCGGCCTAGACCTCACCCACTGGGTGCCAGCCCTTAGCCCCTTCTTGACCCTGGCGTTTGCATACAATTTCTTTTACAGTTGCAGGGAAAGGACTTGACACATTTGATCCATAGACATGATCAACTAGGTGAAACGCTTACTAGAAAGGTTTTGGAATGACATGGTAGTGCACTGCCCTGGTGACTTTTAGACGCAAACTTGAGACATAAAAACTGCGTTGCAAGGAACTCTTTTTGCAATGCTTCGACGGTTAAGAAGCCTTGCGCCCGTGGCGGTGACCTGTGGGGCGCTGCTTAGCTTCTCGTTCGCGCTTCTGGGCTACTCGCTCCTTGGTTTCTTGTATCTTACTCGGTAGGTTGGTTAGGCTCTTTGGCGGGGTCGCACCAGTTGATGGCGGGTCGCCGCCGGAGTTGAAGGCGGCAACGTTGGTACGCTACGCAAAGCATTTGGACAACCTTTGTCGCGAAATCCCTGTCCCCTTGACTTTAGCCTTACACCCTTACAGATATTATGCACCAGCGGCTTATCACTATGTCCGCCCGCTTCACTTCGACTACACGGGCTACGTAGCTGTGGCCGTGGCCCCTTTGTCACCCAACTTGAAGGAGCAATCTTTGCTGCATAACAACCTCGCGCTGCCTGGCGCGGCAGCTGCTCTACTGCCGAAATCACGGTTTCTGCCCTCTGGAACACAGGTGGGTTATTCGCTTTCTGTTGTGGGGATGGCTGTCGACGCTATTCCCGTATGCGCGAATGCCACTGCGGAGACGGACAAGCTGTTAACCAGTCCAACGGCGGATTAGGAGACTTGATGCAGCCCATGGCGTCCTACCAGAATGACTCTTGGCATACTTACGGGTCTCCCCATGGGGCTTCATGGGTGTGACGGGGAGATGTTTGGCGGAAACCTTGGGCCAGTTATACGCTTTAGGGATGACTCATGGAGCCATCGGTTGTACATCTCTCTGTTCCACTGCTAAATGTGGTAGGTTTGGCAGACCCACATTATTTTCCCCTAACTTATCCGCATCCTTTTTATGCACTCAGGTCGCTGTTCATGTAGTTTTGACCATTCCGGCAGATCACACGGATTTGTTCCAGGTAAGCAGGGCTTGTGGCGTCGGCTGCGCGCCTCCAGCGCGCCGCCAAACGATGCGGCATTAGTCATTCCCTGCGCTTTTGCCCTATGAGGTATATTCAACAGGTCACGCGACCGGCCTGCGCTGAGCGACTTGCATGCCGATGGGAACGCGCTTCTGGCTACGACTTACGTAGTGCCTGGCTGCTGTCGTGTGCTTGCTGCTGTACGACCTTGAAATTCCGACAGGTGACCGGGGAGTTGATGACAAATGCGACCCACATCGCAGCCCGCTCTACCCGCACGTACATTAACACCCCGCAGCCGTATGCCTACCGTCTTACAAAGTAAGCGACGTGCAGATCCATATCCATAGTGTACTAGCGATTCTCCTTGTAAGGTGCAGGCGCAGAAGTCAGGGCTCATGCACAGTGCGACTAATGACCCCGGGTGTTGCATGTTTGGGCGGTGCCAGCGAAGAGCTGACTTTTTTGCTCTGCACATCGCCGCCACGGGATGTCTCAGTATCTACGGAAAGCGCTCAGGACTTCGATGCCATCATCATGCTCTCGGGGGCTCGTCTGTGCAGCTTAAACCTCGCTGTTCCTAGGCGTCCACATGGAACTCAGGGTGCTGTCCCTAGCCAGCGGGGGTCCCTAGCTAGCGGGCTAGTCCCGGCGACCTAGCGGCTTGATTCATAACGAAACACTATTATAATTATAACACTCTATTATAGAGGTTTTTGAATGTCCACTAGGGGATTCGGAGGGGGCACTAAGAACCGGGAACAGGCTACGCAAGCCGCGCAAACTTGTCTCAACCTTCATCCCTCCTCGCTATCCCGGTGGTTCCCAAATGTTCCGCACCGTAGGCAGCTGATGTTCTTGCCGTTGCACGTCGTGGGTTGGGGCCACGGTGATTGGGCACGTGTGGATCTTCCGCTCTTTGACGAATATGAGGAGCGCGATGACGCACCAGTGGCCATGTTCCGAGCGAGGTTGGCCAGCCGTAACGCCTCCGGAGGCGGCCTGCCGCCGCCACCCGTGCATCGGGCGGAGCTGCATGCGCGGCTGCGACTAGGTAAGCGACCGGAGCCGCCGGGGTCGCGGTGTTCTGGATTTTAGCTACGAACTTCAGGAGTCCGCTTGGCCGCATGGGCCACGTAGCTGTTGCCATCGCCGTCAGCTCCTGAGGCCGAGTCGGGAGGGATAATGTCCACCTAACCGCTTTTATTGCCCCAATAAAGCGCTTGATGCGTGTATACATATCGGCAAGCCGTACCAGCACGTTTTAGCGCGCAATTCCGCTGCCCTGCCCACTAGTTTGTCCTCTCATCTTGCAACCCCCACATGCGCTACCCTTTTTCGCAGGCTTTTTCCGGACCGCGCTCTTCTGGCTGCGTCCCGGTCTGGCGCTCAGCGTGGTGGTGCTGCTGCTGGGCCTCTTTGCGTCGATTGTCGGCACTACCGGTACCTTGGCGCTGCTGCTGGTCGCTTATTTCTTGCGGCGCTGGATTATCAAAACAGAGGCTGTGGCAGCGGCAGCACGTGCGAAGGCCAAGGCGCAACGAGGGGCGCTGCCGCCACCGGGACGGAAAGGCCCACCGTACGGCAGCTTTGAGGATGCTCTGTCGTACAGCTTGGCACATGCTGAGTTTTATCGCGACAATGGAGCGCAAGTGTTGGGTGTGGAGGACGACGATACCGCCGGGGCAGCATTTGGGCGTCAGACGCGCGGCCGGGCATCACGCCAGGGCAGCGCCTTTCCTGATAGGCCGAAGACGTACGAGGATGACACCTTGGCGCGTGGGGGCAGTAACGGCGCCCGGCTGCCGCTAATGCGCCAGGACTCCCCGACGTGGTCAGGGAGCAGCGGTACCACCGCTGCTGGCGCCGCCACCGCTGGACGGCCGTTGTCGCGTCAGGACAGCGACACTGCGGTAGCGGCGACGTCGAAAGCGAGTGCCCTATCTTCCGTATCCACCGTAAAGCGGCAGAACGGCTCTGACCGGCCATTGCTGTCACCGTCACCGGTGCCGCTGGCAGCGGATGGCGAAGAAGACGAGGACGAGCCTGGCAGCGCCGCCGCTGACATATCAGGGCCAGGCGCAGCGATGGCGACCTGTGGAAATCTAACGGACGGCGAGCACCAGCCAGCGGGTCATGGTGAAGGGCATGACCAGGGCAATGGGGCTGCCGGCACATCGGACCCTGGCCTCGTGGATGAAGATGCCGTCTCCGACGAGGAGTTGGAGCATATGCTGGAGACTGCTCGGTACGACGAACAAGGTAGCCTGGCCGGCGGCAAGACCCCAGACATGGGGGAAGATGCCACGGCCGAGGGGCAGTTTAGCGACCTCGAACCGCAGGCAGATAATGAGGCCGCAGCTGCGCTGCGCCGGAGGGCGGTGTATACTTGGAAGGCTTAGGCAGGAATGCTGCAAGGGAGAATTGTTTTGGTTCCAGCCGCATTTGCTGGGTGATACATGATAGCAGGTTTGTGTTACGCAACGCAGTGCAGGGAAGGGCTTGATTTTTGTGCTAAGATACTTTGGATATTTGGAATCGAAGCGTGGGTTTGATAGGTTTGGCTCCCGGTGAGCACGTAGCCAGTAAGACTGGCTGCGTGGCACAAAGTCATCCTGGTTTGACACACGAACTCGATGTGCATAAAGGCGATGGCTTTTTCATGTGGGTAGCATGTTGCCCAATTCTTGTATATTATCCTTAGGCATGGTCCGCTCTGATTTGCTGGGCTGTGCTTTTCTGGCATTTTCATTCCGGCGGGCTCCAGTGGCAGTATACTCGGTACTGCCATGGGTTGATGACAAAGCCAAAGGACTGTTTGCCAATTTCATATATTGTATCGCCTTCAAAACTGAATGTAATTAAAGGTTAAAGTTTTGCTGCTATTGCAACAGCTGTCGGCCCGTCCTTGTTTTTCCATTGGCTACGGAAAATCCGTCAACCTAATAATAAAGGACGTTATGTTACTTTTGCCACATGATACTGCTAGCCTTTGTACGCTCATGATCACTCTCTTTATATAAGTTATGTGTTCCGCAACCTCGTTCTTAGATTGCGCATAATTTCTTAGGAAAAAATCGAAAATGTTTGCTAAACTGTGTAGGGGCAGCAAAAACGTAGACGTCGTCTCGCCAACCCCACCTCCTCCGCCAGGCGCGGCTCCTGCAAAAATGGCCGCGGCCACCCCGATTGTCGCCTCAGAAGGCATTGAAGAGAGCTTAAGTTCAGCTGAGGCGGCAATTCTCTATAACCTTCGAAGCGGCGGTGGACTCCCAACTGGCGCTTGCATGTACATTCAGTCGGGTGACACGAGTGACTTTGATGGTACGCACGGGACGTTCTTCCTCTCTTGCGCATGACAAGATATGTGAACCAAACCCAAATCGATGCTGGATTACAGGATACCTTATCGCTGCCGCCGGCCATGTGTTGCAACGAGAAACACCGAAGCTAGAATACGTGATAGCGGTGAGCTTAACCTTGCTTAAGCGAATTACCTTCACCAGCGTGCAACAGCGTTATCTGGGTTTGTGCTCCAGTATGTGGCGGGACAACTCCGCCAAGGCTTCGGCTGGGTGACTCGGTACCAGACGCCGTGTGCGGGTTGATGCTACGGGACGTCGCCTGGAAACCTCAAGCTCTAATGCGGTCCCTTTACTCCGCACTCCGCTCCGCTGTATGCTGGTTTGACCATGGCAGGTTCCGGAGCGGCGGGCCTGGCGGGACAAGAACGAACCGGACACCAACAAGCACGACCCCACATATTCTGAGGAGGTGCTGGCCACTGCGGGGCCCCTGCTACGACATCTGTGTCCGGATGCCGTATTGTGCAAGGGGCTGCTCAACCAGCGCAACCTCATTCCCTGGAGCATGATGTTCAACGAGCCGGAGAAGTATGCCCCCCTCATACAGGAGATGCCCCAAGGTGTGTGTGTGGGGGGGTCGTATATTGTCAGGAATTGGAAGCTGGGTGGCTGTCGGCGGATGGGTCAGGTGATTATGGGTTGACGTCAGTCTTCAAATTCCAGTGTTGCGGTAAGTGGGCCGGGGTGATTTCCAGCGGGGTTCGGTTCGTTGCGGTCAGGTGTTTGTTCCCTTCCGTTTCTGCACGAGGCTGCAGCTGCCCGCCGTGGCTCCCCTTCCCTTCCCTTGCTTAGCAACCCCAAGATCCTTCCCTCCTCCTTCCTCACACACCCCGTCCTCCTCTTGCCATCCCTGGGGTCGCAGTGGCGGTGGGTTGGGGCTCCCTGGAGTCCCTGGCGGAGCGGATCCTCGATCCAGAGGTGGGGCCTGATTCTGATGCTGCTTCCGTCTCTCCTGCTGCTTCTCTGTTGCTGGTGCTGTTCTGGCTTCCCCGACATTGCCACTTCCCTGATCCTGGTGTACTTGTTGCTGCTGCTGCTGCTGCTGCTGCTGCTGCTGCCCCTCCTCAGCTCCAATCTGTGGTACTGGACATGAACGGCTCCATGGGCTACTTGGCGGGACTTGTCCAGATTTTGGGGCCCGAGGGGGAGAAGGTAAGCGCTGAGAGGAACAGCAGGATGAAATGGGATGTACACGGCCCTGCGGGGCGCCGTGTGTCATGGCGGGTATTGAAGGCGCGCCCCGCTGTCTCTCCGGATGTCCCCCGCCCTCAATGAAGGTTCTGGGCCGCAAGATGAAGGCCTCCGGGCTGCCGCTGATCATGATGGCTGGGATACAGGCCGAGGTGGTGGCGCAGACACTCAAGCTGCCTGGAAGGTATCTTTTGGAGGGTGGCGCGGGATCCGGGATGAGAGAAGTAGTGGAGAGGCGGGATCCGGGATGAGAGAAGTAGTGGAGAGGCGGGATCCGGGATGAGAGAAGTAGTGGAGAGGCGGGATCCGGGATGAGAGCAGTAGTATCCTGGCAAAAGCTGACCAGGACGAGTTGATGAGGGCACGGAAATTGGCCGCAACGCCGCTGCGTGGGTGTGTGAAATGGTTGATGGTTAGATGGCCTCTTTTCGCGGGCGAAGGAAGGGAGAAGGTATGGGTAGTTTGGGAGCGGACGCTGTGACGAGGCAGTTGTTGTAGTGACAGGTGTGGTGGTTGATTCCGTTGCCCCGTGCTGTCGTACGCCTCTGTTCGCTCCAGGGACCCCCGCGCCACCAAGAACGCCATCTACTACCCCGATGCGGTGCGGGTGCTGCTGCGGCTGGCTAAGGAGCACGACGTGCCGTTGCTCTTCGTGACCAATAACACGTGCAACCGGCTGATCAAGTTCCAGGACGCGGCAGAGGTGGTCAGCCGCATGGGCCTCCAGGGGCTGTTGCAGCGTATCGCGGAAGTGTGGTTCAGCTTGCCGCACCTCGCCGGTACGTTTGTGGGAAAAGTAGGGGCTTGCGGTGTCGTACATCACGGCATACTGGGGCCACAGGCGCCGCGCGGAATGCCCAGTACGAGGAGTAATGGCTTATGCGTGATGATATAGTCCACTGGGTCACGGCGGAGGGCAGGGAAGGCTTTTCTCCGAAAGCCGAGAACTGCGTTGCGGTTCTGGGGTACTGCTGTCCCCCTTGCTGTCCCGGCTTCAACAACCAAACTGGGCTTGATCTAACTCCAACGCACTGAGGAGCCCTCGGGGCCCCGGCTCCTGCAGGCAAATGCGTGCCCTTCGATTGGGTGGCCTTCGCCGCCATGCTGCTGTACGGCAGGCGGTCTTCCGCGATGAAGATTGACCGTCATGAGCTGTACGTGGGAAACGAAGATCCATCAGTGCTGGTGCTGAGGGACCCTGGTAAGCGGCAGAGGAGGAGGAGGAGGAGAAGGAGGGTGGATGGTGGCAGTAGGAGGCAGAGAAGGGCCGAAAAGACGCGTTGTGGAAAAGGCTTGTTGTTCACAAACCAAAATGCTGTGCCCGGCGGCTGTTTGCTAATCCCGCTTCTGCTACTGAGTGCTGCTGAAGCGTTTACCTTAATACCGCCGCCACCATGCCCCGTGAGGCTTCCCTGGCCTCCCAGGTCGTCACACACTAACCAACATCACTTACCTGCGTACCCCCCACCATCACCATCACCGCCACCACTACCGTTCTATGCCACCGCAGGCCAGCCAAGCAGCGATGTGGTGGCTGAGAACCTGGCGGGTACGGAGCGTTGGGGCGAGGTGGAGTCGGTTTCGGATATCAGTCTGGAGGTGATGCTGCAGCTCTCGCGACATGCCGCGGCTCGCACGGCTTGCTAGGCTGGCTATCTAATTGGCTGACTTGCTAAGATTATTGGCTAGCTGCCTGGCTGATGGACTGACTGACTGACTGACTGACTGACTAACTGATCGACTGACTGAGTGGCAGCTTTGCTGGCTGGCGGGCTGGATGGTATGCCGGTGACGCGGCCTTGGCTGGATAGCGGCATTGCGACTGTTGTTTGTGATGTGCAGGGGCGTGGCAGCTGCGGCAGCGGCAGAAGCTGTATGGTATGGATGCTGTATGGCTGGGGTGGTTGGTATGCGGCAAGTCATCGGATGGCAGGTTGTGGATTAGTGGATGTACTGTCCTTAGCAGGTCAGCTAGTGCTGCTACTGCTACTGCTGCTGCTGCTGCCGCTCCTGATGACAGAAATAATGAAGCGCCTTCGCTGGAGGATGCGAAGGATGCTGATGCGTTACTTTGTACAATGATCTATGTCGGGATGAGGTCCTTTCTTTTTCGTTATCCTTTCTTCTTTCTCTTGCGGCCGCTGCGATGCCGTCGCAAGAGAAAAAAGCTAATATTATTTGTTAGAGTACCCTTCCTTCCTCATGGCTCTCCGGTATTGGGCCGCCCAGCTGCTGGTGGGGCTGCATCCGCCCTTACTCGCTATCGGTGGGCCGGGACTACCGTTCCGCCCCCAGAACCCCCTGCCGAACAGAAGGCGTTCATCGAGCGCTGGGTGGCTAGCTGGCTGAGTGGTGCACCAGCGATTACTTGTATGCGGAGGAAGCACTAATTTCGCTGTCCCCAGCACGAAAGCGCAACAGCAAAATTACCCCCCGCAACATTACATGACGTGCATAAAGTACATATATGTACGCTTTTGTAACGTATATAGGTCTGTCCAAGGTCGCTTGATGGCACCTGGTTCAAGCCCTGTACACAATCCGGGCCGGTATCGACACGCATCAACCGCACTAACATGCGGTCGTGTGCCGTGCACATGTAGTCGAGCCGGCGCCGTACTTCATGCCGTGCTTCAAGCATGTTGGGCGCCTATTTGATGTCGATCTGTTACTGGATGAGGAGGGATCCTAGAAGGCATAATTAACCGCCTTGGACTTCCAGTTCGTATGGCGTAGTACAGAAAGGTAATGGTGGATGGTGCTTGCTATATGGTATGATAAATCGTAGAAATGACAATGTGTTCAAATGGCCGATAAGCCCGATAAGCCCCCCACTCTGTAACAACTTGATGCATCACAGCATGTTCGAAATGCCTGTGCACCCCGCCTTCAGCGTCTCTTGTGTCATGAAAGAGGGGAAGGGATCGGGATCTGTACGGGCCACAAACAGCCCGAACCAGGTGCACTGGGCCCGCTTGCCAGGCTGTCCACTCTGTTTTCTCTCTTCCCCCCAAGCTGCATTTTCGTGCTGGGCAGCAAATCATCCTTCTCCTGCCCCCCTTTCCTCCAACCAGGAAAGGTCTCCAATTTTTAGGGGTGGAACTCGACCGGCCAGCTTTCTTGGCCCCCAGCTATCGCTTACCAGATCACATGCCACAACCCAAGCTGTTGATTTGATCATAGCAATATTATGAATAATACGTTCAGGGGTTTCCGTGCAGGTCCCGGCGCAGCGGAAAGGTGCAAACAATCGTGCAGATGGCTGCACGGGCTCCGGGAGCCCGTTGACCACCTCCTGGAGGCGCGGTGGACTTTCACCTTCAGTACTCCCCGGAGAACAACACTGCCATACTTAAGGACAAGGCATTCACCACCACCACCACCACGAGGTCATTCCGGCGAAAGATAGTGTCATCGCCCCAAAAAGCGGCAAATAAAGAAAGGAAAAGGAGCCTGACAGCCACATAGCCAAGGCCAAGGCCACATTGACGTACGATCCCCAAGTCTCAACCGCCTCCCCCCGCTCTTTCCTCTGGGCCCCCACCTCATGGACATCACTTCTTCTTGGGCAGATTTAGGTGTGTAGGCCCTGGGTGCCACTAATGAAGGTATCGAATACCCTCCTCCTCACGAACATGATTGTCACGGATTTACTCACGCGCGCTTACCTGGCTGTGCGTGCGGGAACACTTGCTCTGGTCCGTATCCCTAACTGACGCTAAATAGATGTCTCCCCCCCAAAAGAAACCCTAGGCCTTAGCCTGCCCGCTCTGGAAAGCGCTTCATCTTCATCTTCATCCACCAACACCTTCAGCATATGACCGTGATTGCCGGAAGAAGAGCGGTTTTCCAGGTCGGGGTTACCCCCGTTCCCTTCCCTCCGCACCCCCAGACACCACATCAGGAGTGGAGGAGTTCACAAGGGCCTTATGGGGGAGTTGTTCAGGAGAGATACTTCTCCCCTGGCCCAGTCCGACATCCTATGAATACATACATACATACATACATACATACATACATGCACACATACATACATACATACATACATACATACATACATACATACATACATACATACATACATACATACATACATACATACATATACGCTTGAGGACAAACGCGGCCTTGTCGCGGGAGATGCGTGTACGTATGCATATATGTGTATGTATGTATGTACATAAATGAAACGAATACGAAGGACATGGGTCAATGAACAAAACAATCGTCTCCCGTCTCAGCATACATTGGCTCCAAACATACATACATACGAGACATGTCAGGGTCGAAAATCCTTTCGGCAATGGAAGGTAATAGTGCCTCTAGTCGACGGACGGTGGTGACCTGGGATAAAGTTGATCTGCGAGCTGACCAGGAATAGAGTTAAGCCGCCGTTGATTCGGCTAAGATGTGGACCCCCTGTCCCACACATCATACACACACACACACGAAACTAAGGGAAAAAACATGCACGCGCACGTGGCCCACATGTACGAGGAGCGTACGGCTATGCCATAGTAGTAATAATACTCACCGAGCAATAATCACAACAATCACTCTACGCAGCGAAAGCTCGCGCGCTGAGGCCCCGGTGTCCTGACGTCAGATCCCCTCCCCCTTCTCCTCCACATTTATCAGCTCTGAAGCCATCATAAACGGTTTTCTTCTCCGTGTAACACCGTACGACAAAGGTACGACAACACAAAACTGCGGTAGCCATTGCCAACCTGCATACCCACCATATGCCCACAGGCCGCCCGACTGCCAACCACGGAGGGCTCCGGCCCAGCGCTGGCAGTTGCCGGGATTGATTAGCATTACTGCAGAGACCGTCTGGCGCGTCTGGCCAACCGTCCACCCAACCAGCCAATCCGTCCCTCATTCATTCACTCGGTCATATTCTGTCAATCGACAGACGGCTACATACGTACTTGTGAACGTATGTATGTATGTGTATGTATGTGTGTAGCTCGGAGCGATTTCCTAGGCCCCGAGTCCCGACCTTGCTGAGGTGGCCTGGACCTGCAGGGGGGTCATAACCCGGGAGTCTGGGGGAAACCGGAGGACGGGGGGGGGGGAGGGGGGAGAGGGGGGGGAGAAATGAGGCGTGGCGGTGTTGGCATGGCGGCGGCAGCAAACAGTTCATGTACCGTGACTTTGTGGAACGGAAGGGGGGAGGAAAGGGGGGTGGCGGCGATCGGTTTGATGCGATAATGGTGGTGGTGGTGGTGGAGGCGATTGAGGGAGAAGACCAAGAAGAAACGGTTGAGGTGGGCAACATCGTTGCGTGTAATGTGTTTTTTCTTGTGCCTTCCCCGACAACGTTCTTTTCCCGCGCCTGTGCTCCTAGCCGCCCCCTGCATCTCCCCTCGCTCTCCCCCCGCCGCCCCCGCCGCCGGCCCATCTTTCAACCAGTGGCCCCCACTGTTCCACCGTTAACTCCCCCCCACCTGAGGGGGAGTTGTTGGCGCCACTGCTTCGTAATTGCTGTACGGACGGCACTGTCAGGATGATGGGTCCGGAGTAGCCGCCGCCGCCACTGCTACCGCCATTGCCGTACTGCTGCTGCTGCTGCTGCACCGCCGAGACTGACCTCACCTGCGGCTCGGGTTTGACGGCGCCGCTGGCTGCCGCCGCCGTGTTTTTCCCTCCCCGGCTTCGGAGCAGTGCCATCGACCAGTTGGCCGCTGCCTTCTGTTTCTGCTCACGACGGTGGGAGCCTGAGTGTGCGTAAATGTATGTATGTGATATGGGGGTTGAGATCCCCGTGGTGAGGGGAGAGGAGGGCGGGTGGGTGTGTTTGGGGGTCGGGAGGAGTAAAGAGCGGGAAGAAAAGGAGAAGAGACAACCGGGGAGTAATCGTACCAAAGAAAACACAGACAGGGTAAGTGGGGGAGACCTGAGGGGTATGGTGAGACAGGAGAGGGATATACGAAAGAGAAAAAACAAGTATTCTCACACGGGACTCACCTCAGGCTCCCTCTCCCCTGCCGCACTCCCGGCCCCCCAGTGGCTCCCCACCCGCACCACCCCGGTAGCGCATGTTGCCTCCCTCTCCCTCCCCATGGCTCCCTGTCGTACCCTGCCGTACCCGTCCTGTGCAGGTGGTGGTTAGGCGGCGGTAGTTTGGATCCCTTCATCAGCGCCTCGCTGTACCACCGGGTGTGGTCCTCCGGGCTCAGTGCGGCCCACCACCAGGGCTCCCGCTGCCGGGGCTGACGGGGGGGGAAGGCGCCTGGGGGTTGAGAGGGGGGATGGAGAGCGGCAAGGGGGGGGGAAAAGAAAGGGTTTTCCTTGACGTGGTAAAGGGGCGGGAAAGGGAGGGAAGATGGCAAGGGGGGAATAGTGGAATGGGCAAGGGAGGTGACCCGGGGGAGTTAGGGGCCAGGGGGGGATGACGCTGTCCCAAAACCCGAACCCTGCACCCAGCTTACCCTTCCCCCACACATACACATACACACATACGTTTCACCTCCAACCTGCACTCACCTGGGAAGGAGTCCTTGCCCAGCTTCTGCTCCCTGTCGTACTGTGGGAGCGGCTTGCCGTTCCTGTCCCTGTGTGTGTCTTCCCTGAAGCCCGGAAAGGCGACCCGCACGTACAGCTCCTTGTCCTCGCTGGGCAAATCGCACAAGCGGTTGAACCTGGGGATGGGAAGGAGGGAGGGAGGGAGGGAGAGAGGAAAGCAGCGGCGGCGGTGGCGACCATTTATTGTTATACTGCCACATCATCATCAACAACATCAACAACAACAACGGCAACAAAAGCAGCAGCAACGCATGTAACAACAACGGTTGGGTTTGTTGGTTGATCGGTTTAATTACCATTATTATTCCCTCGAGCCCCCCCCCCGGCCCCCTTACCAGTCCTCCCAGGAGGACGTGTCAACCTCCGCCACGCGCTCCATGAACCGCTGGTCAGTGAGCCACTTCAGCTGCGGCCGGGAGAGGTGCCGTACCAAGGGGGTTAGCCTGGGGGAGGGGGGGGGAGGGGGAAGAAGCGGGTTTGCCAGGAGCACCAAAACACACACACACACACAGGCTACCATCCCCACTATCCCCAAATCCCATCCTCCTCCGCCCGCCCGCCCACCCACCCACCCACCCACCCACCGGAAGTCCCGGCTGATATATCGGGGCTCCTCGCCGCCTTCCAAGTTGTATTCCGGACCGATATCGTACGGTACGGCATCGTCCAGCACGTCGATGAGCTTGCAGAGCAGCACCTAGAATGGCAAACGAGGCGCACAAGCGTAATTAATACATACATACATGCATACATACATACATACATACATACATACATACATACATACATACATACATACATACATACATACGTACATACGTACGTACATAAGCAGGTGGCTGGCAGAAGTTAAGGCCTGACTTCTGCTCCCGGAGATTCCAGGTTCGAATCCGCCTGCCGACCCCTCGGTGTGTGTGGGGTGTTGAATTGGGAAGTGGCCCCCATCTTGTGGACGGTATATGACGTGATTATAGCAAAATGCGAGCTGACCAGGAACTAAGTTATGGCGCCGTTGATCCGCTAGATTTGGTTGGATGCTGGTGGTGAGTTGCTGAACCCAACGAATACATTCTGAAGTCGGATGGGGTGAATGGATTAGGGTGCCCCCTCTAGCAGGGGAGAGCAGGGAACTGCCTCGGGAAAGGGGGCCGCTGGTGAAGCTATACCACCCTGTAACAACATCATACATACATACGCACCCGCTCTCAGACCCCACTCCCCCCCCGCCCCCCAGGCCCCCCCCCAACCTGCAGAATAGTCATTCGGTATTTGGGTGAGAGGTCGCTGTCCAATGCCATCAACCGGTCGATGTACGACAATAGAGGTGAAAGTATGTCCTGCAGGGATACGACAGTGGATTTCAGGGCGGGTTGAGGGTGAGAGATTGGTGATGGGTAACGGTGGGTGGCGGTGTCTGGTGACGTGTCAGAACAACAAGTGCCGTACTCAGCACCACACAAAGCAGCCCAGAAAAAGCCCATTACTTCACTAACCCATATGCATACAGACGCACATACCTTCCAGGACTTCTATACACCCCTCATGAACCCCACCCCCACGTCCCCCACAAATACATGCACGCCCTTCCCTTCCCTTCCCCGCTGCTCCCCGACCTGATGCAGCTTCTCCTTGCTCGCCCGCCACGCCGGAAGCTCCTCTACAGCCGTGGGGGGCTCCGTTGTCAGCCGCCGTACAAACTCCGCATATCTGCACGTGCCACACATTCCATACGCCCTTACATGAGGCAAGTTTGCTGCTGTAGGAGCTGTAGGTACCTCCAAAATTCAATCATCAAACGACACCGCACACGCAGCGGCGTCGCTGCACACAGAACCGAGAAGCAGCTAAGCACTTAAGAAATGTGGAATCCAGCGAGCACAGCGAGCTTGGACGGTGGCTTCCTGCACGCGTACGGGTATTTCGCTTATGGGTTAACAGAAAAGCACACAAGGGTCATCAACAATGGGCCGTACGTCAGATGTCCAAACCCGCGACATTCCAGGGACACGCGCCCCACCCCATCCACCCCTCCAAACGGTTTGCAAAACAGCAGCTCGCCCCCGCGGGAAAATCCCCCGATGCCGTTGCCGTACACGACAATGATGTCAAACGCGCGCTAGTATTGCCGTACCCGATGACGGACAAGTTCGAGCCCAGGTGGTTGTCGTCACACAAGCGCTCCGTGATCATCACCTCGCCAATGGCCCTCAGCTCGCCTGGATTGGGTTCGGTTGGGTTCGGTTGGTGGTTGCAGATTGACAGTTGATAATACGGATATGCCGTTGGGTCAGACACGGACACGGACACAGACAAGGACGCGGATTCGGGTCACCGTAGGAAGGCAGCTACGTGGGTTAAAGGGGATTCGGGGGGGGGTAGGAACAGAGAGAGAATCAGATCAGGGTCACATTTCCTGAAGGGGAGGGGTGTTACGTTTGTGGTTGCCCCTCGCCCTCGCCACCCGCCCCCTCTACACTCTCCTGAAGCCCCAGTGTCAGATTTGGATCTCACCCGCGTACAGCTGCAACACCTGCCATTGGGGCTCAGCACCCACATCTCCAGGCCGCCCATTACCTGGATAGGCAACAATAACAAAACAAATAACAGCAACACAACACAATAGCAGCACATATCTATACCACAACATGAACAGAACAAACATGTGGCCGAAGAGCTGCAGAGGGCGGTGCAGCTGTCCCAGCAGTAGACGTGGTGGTTTGCCCCTTAAAAGAGGGCCCTTCCCGCCATGTGGTGGGTCGGTGGGGGCAACACACCCACGCCGGTGCGGGTTAGGAACCCGGAGGGGAAAGGAGGGCTACCGGGTAGGGGCGCCGGCAGTAGCAGTACCAGCAGCAGCAGCAGATGTTGCTACCAAACCACCCACCCTCTCCTCCCGCGTTCTTTTATGCTCCCGTACTTTGACCTTCCTTACTATGCCACGCACGAATGGCGCGGCTGCTTGTCGTACTCCCTGATCCGTACCCTTACCTTGTACGGGTGTTTCACCTGCGGTGGTGCGGTGCGGCGGAGGGGGGGCCCGATCCCGGAGAGCCAGGTCATCCTTTCAAGGGGGATGGAATGCGTGGATAACTGGAATACTAGTACGGTGTGTATGTATGTATGTATGCACGTCACCACGGTATGTACGGTAAGTACGCGATACACGGAGTTACATGCTCCCTGGCTTCCCGGTGCCCCCTCCCTCCCCTCCACAGCTGTCTGTCTGTATGTGTGTCTGTATGTATGTATGTATGGGTTGCACCTCGCCTCGCCTCGCGCTACTAGGCTGTCTTGACGTACGAGGGCCCGTACGTATGTATGTACGAGCCTTGCGGGGCCCCAAGGGCATCACACAGAAGAGCCAGAAGGGCTGCGGACCTAAGGAACATTACAACGAGGGAGAAACGCACCCGTGAACTGGAACTTGATGGCGTCTATGATCAGGTTCAGGTTGGAGGTCTGGTTACCGGCCCCCACAATGAACACGATCTCCTGTGCACGATAGAGAGAAAGGGGGTGTGGGGACTAATGAAGGTCGGGCTTCCAGGCAACCGGGGCCAGGGGGGCAGCTACGTGGATGTACTGCGGTGACGACATGACGAGGACAATGTTGACGGCGGCGGCGGCGGCGGCGGCGACAACAACAGTAATTAACGGCCACAACGGCGCCGGTGGTTACCTGCGTTTCGATACATGCCGCATCTCACGTGACTGGCTCTGGGCGGCGCAGTCCGTAACATGGAAAATGAATTATCAATACATGATAGCAGCCAGGCAGGCAGGCACTAAAGCATGCCAACGGAAGGTCAAACACGCCCCACACCCCAGTGCACCGCGAAACACAACTAACTCTTGGTAACGGTTCGCCTTCCCTCCAACGTAACCCAGCTAATACGCAAATGACCGCAGACAATTAAGCTCCGTACGTACCTGCCGGATCACCTGCGAAGACCAGCAGCACCAGGCCGGTGGGGGGAAGAGGGGGGGAAAGGTAGGGGGGGGAGAAGAGGTGAAGAATAAAAATGGGGTTACGAAGGCAAATGCCTATTTAGGACCCCAGGAGGCGGAGGAGGTGGAGAAGGGGGGAGATAAACAAGGCGGAAGAGGATGGTGGGGGAGAGAGAGGGGGGAGGGAAGAAATGAAGAAGGGGAAGGTCAGGATGTATAGGCCATGCACATACATACATACACAGCAGCGGGTACGCTGGTCATGTTTTTGAGCGCACGGAGGGTCGCTGCACTAGCGCTGAGACAAATGTCGTCTTCTAGCTATTACTCGTCTTCCTCCTGCTGCTGCACTACCACCTGCGCCTGCTGTCCGCGACCCCCCCCCACCGGGGTCAGGTCCCGGTCCACTGGGGCGGTCAACACCCCCCCTTGCGGTGAGCGAACGGAGAACACGACCCGCGCTGTACAACGACTTTACAATGACCCATCGGCTCCGTGACGCACCCTCTATCTACCCCACTTGCCGCACATAAGTCCGCTCCTTCGTTCCATTCACATATTCTCCAGGCATTCGTTCAACTAGAGAACTCGTTTGGCCCCATAGGGCCCCCCGGGAGCCCCGGTAGTAAAACCGCTCCTAGGCGCCGCTCGCGCGGCTAAGTGACGCTTCACCCGTCAGTCGCGACGTGCCTTTCGTTTCCGCTCCCACTCCCCATCCCCACTCCCCACCTCCACTCCCCACCTCCACCCCGCCCCTTCCATTTGCACTTCCACCCACCACTACCTCTCCCTTCACCTCGGCCTCCCTTACGACGCACCTCCAGCCAGCCCAGGAACTCCGAAACCACGTACGCCATGTTCAGCCGCGCGTACTCCCGGTCCCGGTCATTGCCCTTGCGAGCAAACTGGTACAAAAAGTTGGACTTGATCTGCGAAAATCAATCACCGGGTGTGTTGCAGCGCAGTGCAGTGCCGCGGCTCGGAAATCAGCCCAGACCATGCACACACATACATACATACACACACACAAACATAAGAGCACGCACCCCGTCGTCTTATTGCCCACCCCAGCACCCACACAAACACAACCTCACAACATCACCACCTTCGGCATTTCCCTCATCACGGCTCAGATCATTAAACCACGCACAAGCACACGAAGTCCCCCAAAGGCCCCCTAACCCACAGTGTGTCGTCGTATTCTTCCCCTCTGCGCCGCGGGCTCACCTGATTAGCTAGGCGCGCCTGCAGGTCGAAGGCGGACTGTAGTAACGGTTTTTTGTACTGCTTCATCAGCCTGCAGTACACATTTGCATCCCGGCAGAGGGCCCCGGTGAGGGCGGACGGGTTTCAGGCGGTTATGGCGTCTGTGGCACAAAGCGCACATGCACACACACAGGTCAAGTTTTGTAGGGTAACCACAAGTCTGTGGGATCGGGGATTGGTGGCATTACCCCGCCCAATCCTAGCCCGCACACACACACACACACACGCGCGCGCGCACACACACGCCTAATACATGCGGAAGGCAGGCGGAGGAAAGGCCCTGCACTCACTCTTGCACGTTTTCGAAGCGCACCAGCCGCCGCTGCTTGTCCTCCAGCTCTTTCTGAGGGCGGGAGGCAGTAGGGGGGAAGAAGCGAGGAGGCCGGGGTCCAGGGGGTAATGGAGGTGAAATAAATACATCACCAGCAGTGGGACGCTCCGAACCAGCGACACACTGTTCGCGTGTCGCTAAGGGTTTTGCCCCGAGTACGGCATAATCAGCTCCATATACTGATAACCAACCGATGCACATGCAGACATTGCAGCGGGACGCCTTTCACCGAGTTCTCATGACGGGGCTGGGGGATGCGGTTAGGGAATTTAGCATCGTTGGGCGTGGCGTGCGGCAGCAGCTACCTTGAACGCCTCAAATCGTCGCTCCTGTGCAGCAAGCTCCTGCATGTGTCTCTTGTCGCGAAAGTATGCCGCCACGGAGTTGACGACCGCAACAACGAAGCCCACAGAGCTGCGGTGCATCAGGGGCCTCAGGAATAAGTTTGAATGCATTGCCGTAAAAGCATACGAATCATCTTTAAGCCCAATGTCGGGGTTTGCTGTTCAGCTTCGACAGGCCTTTGACGAATGGCCTCACCTGGCCAAAAGCGCGATGACAATTTGGATGGTATTGCCGCCATCTCCAGATATGATTGTGCTGAACTGCACTCCGTGTAAAGATTGTGGCGATTAATAGTCGCGTCAAGGGCTGAGGTGCAAACTTGACATCGACGCCGGGCAAGGAAACCCACCACACTGGTGTCGCCACCATCACTGGAAGACATTTCGTTACGTTACCTACAATCTGAAAGTTTGCTTTGGGTTCTCAAGGTTAGCGCCTGGGCCGCTAGAAAGAAGTTTCAACCGTTTGAACCTTAAATACTAATGATGCATATTCACATTGCTATTGTTATAATTGTTATTGTTAAGCAGCCCCTCCTCTTAATAAAGAAACCAGCAAACCGCAAAGTGCGTAATACTTCATATGGGCAGGTAGAGCATCCATGCCACCCCCCCTCCCAATAGCCCCATGCTTTTCAATACAAACTTCCATGCCATGGCTTCTAATACTCTTGCCTGACCGCAGAGCGCAGGATTCCATTTTCAGTCATGGAAGACGGAGGAAGCGTTTGTAACGCAGATTCGGGAACTTAACCACCGGCGCGTCGATGCTCGATGGTCCTCTGATCTCGTTCGTTCGCCAGCACCGTAATACCACATTGCTGGATCTAATTCAATAGGATCCGCGTAGCATTTCCTTAGTACGAAGTGGACTCGTTAGGCTAGTAGCGGCACAGATTCCGATGCGGCAGCACGCACTGCCCCCACAGGCGCATCTGGGCACCATTCTATGGGGGTACATTGGAGAACAGACGGCTGCTCACCATTTTTAATCATCCCATTAAGTGTCTGTCGGGGAGGGCGGTCGTTGCGGTTCAGCTGCGTTCTTTCCGGTTCTGCTAGCTTTGCTGTGGCAGTGCACGCAGTATGAAATGGTGGATTGTGGAAGCCATTTGATTGGTATGGCCATGTGTAACTGTTTTCGAATAGCCGAGATACCTGATGGGCACAGCAGCTCCCGCACCGGAATTATAAGGCTTAGTCGTTGTAAGGAGCACAGCCCATGTCTAGATGAACACGGATGTGATGTCTCTTCCTAAGATTCTTAACGGTGAGCGGTATGTTGTCACAGAAGAGGTCTTGAAAGCTCCATCAAGGTGGTTAGGCGATGTCCAGGTGTTAGTTACTTTGTTGGCAGTCCAAGCGTTTTTTCCTAACATACTTATAAGCCGAGAGCCTTTTACTAGAAGATTTTACTCCCTGACCTCATGTAACAGTAAGGGCATCACCCGACCTCCTACCGCTGCCCTTGCAAAGTAAAGCTTCTCAATACCCAAGATAATGGCAAAACGGCACAACAAACCCATGGAAATCATAGTGATAGATGGAATGCAGATACTTTATCAATAAATTATGAGGAGAATGGATTAGCAGTCCAGCTGTCGTGGTCAAACAAGCATCATGTTTACCGAAGCGGCCCTTTTTCGTGAATGTGCTGTCAAGCACAGCGACGTAGCACCGAACCAGGTACTACGATAAATACGGGGTCCTCTGACGAGCTGCAGCGACAAATTGCCTTGTTGACTTGTGATCCTCAGGCGCTTGGGGAGCACACGTACGCGGCGGTCTGGTCAGCATTGCGCGGTTGGCTGCTAGCTCTTTTTTCAAGGTGCCGCGGCGCAGTATTTCCTACATTTGCGCGTATCGCATGGTATCGTGTCGGTGACCAGTTGGAGGATGGCGCGCCGATGCTGCGACCCATATTCGTACCCAGCGACGCTTATCTGCGGGCACACGCGCTCCATGTGGGATCTGGCGTGACCCGATCAAGCAGCATCGTAGCTGAGGAACTGGGCCTGGAGCCATGTGAGGACTACAGCGCCATGAAAATCGCCATCAAGTACGCGGCCATTAGTTATCCCTAACAGACCTGTTCTGCTCCCTTCTTGATGTCCCGCGAATAGAGTGCTGCTGAAAGCGCTTCAACGTACTCCTCGTTGCATTAGTTCTCGAGAACTTACGGTAACCCAGGCACATGCGGTATGCGCATCCTTGGCATCTCTATCAGTGGAGGTATTGAGGTTGCTTCGCCACATTTCGCTTCGCTGAATCGTTCCCCTGGAGACACGGATGCACGCGACAAGTTATCCTTACCCGTCAACCTTGCGTAACAATAACATATCGCACCACTCGTCATCTCCCAGCCGTGTTACAGTGAACTGCCCCCTAAGATGTCCATATTAACCCATTAACTCCCCACAAACTCGGCTCCTCTTCGGTGGCCGTTCGCCCTTCTCCCCTCTCTCCGCGCCCAAGGCATTCTTGCTCCCTGAACAAGGATGTCGTATTCTGCTGCACCCGCCACCTGCTGCACCAGTTGGGCGAGGCGTTAAGCAGCGGCCGCCCCGTTGCGCTGGACCTGGGCGTTGGCATCCTCAGCGGCCGCGACCGTTGCCTGTCCTTCCGCTTCCACTCCCAGTACCTGGCGCACTGGCCAGCAACGGCAGCCTACAAGCTAGCGCCACAGGCGCCGCCGGACCGCTGCCAGCGGCAGCTGCCCGGACCGCCGGCGGCCGCGCCGCTTCCGCTTCCGCCGCAGCACCACTACCACCCGGGCCAGGACAACCAACAGGTGTTGAAGCCGGGGGCTGGCCATGCCGCGCAAGGGGACCGCAAGGGCATGGGGGCCCCGACGCCTGCATCCGGCAGGTCCGGCGGAGGAAGCAATCCATGCGAAATCGACCGTGTCGGTGAGGAAAGCGGAAATGGCCACCTTCAAGAGCAGGATGTTTGGTGCAGGGCTGGCGGCACGGGTCTGGCAGGGGCCGGCAGCCCTGGCCGCGAGGAGCACCACCTTAGCAGCTGCATCCAACAGCAGCAGCAGCGGAGCCTGTCACCAGGGGTGGGTAGGGACCGGGATCCACGTCAGGCAGGTCGGGATTCAGCAGGGCCGCATTCGGCCCGCACCCGACCTGCCTGGGGCGCCCGCGTGCCGCCGCCGCTGCAACCCTCCCCAAGGCGCCGCTCCGCCACCGCCGCCCTCCCCAGCGGGATGGCGCAGAAGTCACAGGCGATGGCGTCCAGCTCTAATACAGCTGTGGATGGCGGTGCACTTGACGCACAAGCATCGCCCGGCAGGCCCGCGCAACCACACGATCACGGTCCACACCAGCAGCAGCACCACCATCATCAATACTACCTTAACCATGACCAGGTAATGCACGATGCGGCGACCGGAATGGCATATAGCCCCAAGGCCAGCAGCTGCAGCGGCGGCGGCGGCGTAGTGTCTATAAAGAACAAGCTCGCTTTCGTCGACAGCGCACGAGGTGCAGGTGTAAACGAGGCGATGCCAGTCGGCCGGGCTGTGTCGTTGGCGATTCGCACGCCACGGCCGCGACCACGGTCACTCTCACCGGGCCCGCAGGAAGTAGCTCGCCTCCACCAACACCACCAACACCAAAATCGCCTGCAGGGAACACAGTCCCTGCAGGTCAATCCCAATGGCGGCGGCGCTGTCGCGGCAGTTCCGCGGCCCTTGAGCGCACCTCGATATCGGTTGCCGAGCACGTCAGCTGGCGACGCTGCGGTAAGGCCTGCGGAGGCCATTACCCGACGGGCCCATCCGGTGAGCCCTCGTCCAGATAGCACCGCCACGGTACGACCGCCGTGGGGCTCAGGATCCGGCAGCCGTGCGCGTGCAAGCGGTGGCAGTAGCTCACCCGGCGCTGTGCGACCCCATAGTGCGCCGCGACTGCGGTCCCCAACGGCTGCGTCAGCTCCCGCGGAGGCGCTTGCGGCGGCGGCCAAGCCCGCTGCAGCAGCGCCGGTGACAACTGGAGAGCCGCGAAGCTGGTCGCGGCACGCCTGGGCAGGTGGGGCCGGCGCTGACGGCGGCAGCGGGAGTGATGGCGGTGTAGGGATAGACGTGCGACAGTTGTGGAGCGCCGGCAGCAAGCTTAAGGCGGCCACCGGCGGTCGCGGAGGCGCCGGCGCGGGACGCGTCTGGCGGCCCTTCGACGCCTCCGGGGTCAGCCCCGGTCGGGCCCAGGGCGGCACTGCAAGCGGTGGAGGCGGCCTTGCACCGGCGTGCCAAGCTGCGCCACCGCAGCACCAGCGGGCACGTTCGCTCACGCAGCCTGTGCAGCACAACGCTACAAGTGCTTGTGAGAGAGGTTGCTGCGTGGCTGAGCTGGACGATCACGCTAGTTCCGATCAGCAGAAGTCGCCACAGCCGTTCCTTGAGCCGCAGTACCACCAGCAGCCTTGGCGACAAGGAGGCGCCCGCAAGCCGCTTTTCACGTCCCCGCGGAAGGCAGCAGCCGCACGGCCGAGTACCGAAGCAGCGGCGGCAGTGGCGACTGCAGATGTGCTGGGAGGAAGGCAGCGGCAGCAGGGTCCCAGCAAGTCCCAGCCGCAATCCGCTATTTCTCCGGTGAGGCTGACGACAGCGGCGGCTTCCGCAGGAGCCATGTCTGTCGGGCAGCCTGCATGCTACGATGAGCTCGACCACTCACCGCAGCTCCGCCGCGACCAGTCCAATAAATCCGGGAGCTCTCCAGAGCATAAGAAACCAGCCCAAGCAGCGGCGGCGGCGGCGGCCTATCCTCAGCGGACGACCATCTTGCGGACCATCCTGAGCCCACGCATGGAAGCTCAGCAGCACAACCTGCGGTACAACATGCCCTGCGCTAGCACAGTTGCCAGCACCCCTGCTACTGCCGTCGCCTCGGACCGATCCCGCGGTCCAGGTGTTGCGATGGGCTGCGTGGCCGCTGACATGATAGCAGGCACCGCCCGCGTCGACAACATTGTCGCCATGGACGTGGCTGGTGCTGGACGGCCTGCACCAGCTGGGGGTCTCCAGCAACTCGATGGCTGGCGCCACCGTGGCCACACCAAGTCCAACTTAGTGGCATCACCCACTGTGGCGGCGGCAGCGGTGGGTGTGACTTGCGACCGCGACGCAACCCTAACTGGGAAAATTCGTGCGGCAGTTGCAGCAGGCCCGCTTGGTCAGCCCGGCTCGGACGCTGCACTTCACGCGCACCCTACCCAGCGCGCAGCCGGCCTGTCAGAAGAGGAACGGGATGGATCTGGACCTGGACTTGGACACGCACTGAAAGCGGCAGCGGTGCTTCATGGTGGGCCGCCTGTGGGCTGGAGCCATGCTGCGGGGCCGCTCAGGCTTGGCAGTGCAGCCCAGATGGGTCAGAGCACGCACGGCGACGGTTGCAGCAGCGGCCACGGCGGCTGTGGTGGTAGTGGCGGCGGCGGAGGGTTCAGTGGCTGGGGAGCGTCCTCTGTCGGGTTCCGGAGCAACACCGGCGGCGGGACTGAGGACCTGTCCAGCAGTTGTTGCGGTCCCCAAAGCACCGATGCTTTGGACCTGGGCTACCCCTTGCCGATGTACGACAGTAGCAGCGGTGGCGCTGGCGGCGGCAGCAGTAGCGGCGGCGGATGTAGCGTCCCGCGCGCCGCCGCTGCAGCCAAAACCATGTATAGCCCGGGGCGTAACAACCCTCCCACAGTGTTAGCAATTACCGCGACCGTGCAGGCAGCGCTAGGCCGTCGCTACCACGCAGGCGTGGATTGGCACCGGCATACCGAGGACAGCAGCAGCATGGATGCCAGCAGCGACAGCCGGAGCAGGAGCAGCGCATGTTTTAGCAACACTGGTGGCAATACCAACAGCAGAAGCAGCACCATGGTGCGGGTGGTGTGCCCCAAGGGGCCAGATCTGAACATCACCCTGCTCCCAAGCCCGCGAACACAAAGCCCCCCGGGTCCCGTGTTCCCCGTCCCGATGATCATCACAGAGCAGGACCTTCCGGAACCTGCCTGGTCCACGATGCATGCCCACGGGAATGCCTGCAACGGTAGCAGCGAAACGCACCCTAGCAGCAGCAGCGGCGGCGGTGATCTGGCCATCGGCTGCACCAGCGCCGTTAGCGGTGTTATGGTCAGCAGCCGTGCGCCAGTGCGCGCGGTTGAGGAGAACGTCGGTGAGAAAGCGGACAAGGCGGTTCCGCAGGTGGAGCGCGGATCGGAGCTGGAGGGAGTTGTCGCTTGCAGCGCGGCATCCAGTGGGGACATCTGCTGGTCAGCGCGGTCGGGCCGCGCTCAGGAGAGCGGTTGTGGTGCTGGCGGTGGCGGGCCCCTGTTACACAGGCGTGCGTATGGCGGCGCGCCTGGTGAAGACCCGGCTGACGTGCACGGCAGCAACGCCGCTCCCGGCTCCGCGTTGGTTGATGTGGTAGGAATGGCTGTGCCGTGCCATGGCGACGATGGTGGCGGCGCCGCCAGGGTCCACCGTCACAGTGGCCTTACCTGTGTGTCCATCAGTAGAAGCAGCCAGATGAGCAGTGGTTCCGGGGCCGGCTTATCAGAGTGTCCGGGGATCAGAGATGACGAGGGAAGCGGTGGCGACGGTGAGAAGGGCGCTGGTGGCGCCTACGCGGGCGATAGCGGCAGCCGGCGCACATCCGCCAGGCGGCGCCATGGCAGCACCTGCGGCAGCAGCGCTGAAGGCGATGACGGAAGCAATCATAGCTCTGGCAGGTACCGGCGAGGTGCTGCTGGTGCTGCACCCCGCATGTCGTTGCTGGATGAGATGGGTCTTTTCAGAAGCAACCAGAGCTTGGGAACGCGGCATGCTGCCGTTGCCTCTGCTGTCCGCGGAGTTGGTAGCATCATGCGGCATGGCGCTGGCGCCACCTTCAGCATTGACAGCTCCATGCCCCTGATTGGAAGCCGCAGCGAAGTTTGCGAAGAAGAGGCAGAAGAAGTTCGGGATAACGGCGCCTTGGAGGCTGGTCGCTCTTTGTCCGAGAACGGGGATGGGGCCGGCCATTACCCCGAGGCCGGCGAGGGCGCAGGTGGGGACGGAAGCCCAATCCACTCCGAGAGCGGAGATGACTCCATTTCCTCTGAAAGCAGCTATGGTTACGGGAGCTGCAGGCGCGGGGGGTTGGTGCGGGTCCGAGCGAATTGGGCCGGGTCAAGTGCCTCAGGCAGCTACCGTTTGGCGCTGTAATGGAGACCGCTGGAAGGGCTCGTACCAGCGGCGAAAGTGATACAAGCGATTCCGCGTGATGGTGCAAGTGAGGTTGATGTGTGCGTAGCGTGCGACCTAAAGTGAAACCGCCCAACGGCGGCGGCTGGTGACGGGATACTTGCATGCGTAGCAGAAAGGGATAGCTGCTTGAGCTTTAAAGGGTGTGTGAAATCGCGAACTGGTTTTTTTAACGGGCGATATTGCGCCCCGGAAGCGGCGGTTAGAAGTATTGCATGTAGCGGGAGCCGAGGAGGCTTCCCTGAGTACCGTAGGAAGCCCAGGAAATTTCATAATCGCTTGAAAGGTAATGTCCGCGCACAGAGTACCGTATTAGCGCCCGTTTTAAGAGCATATGGAAGGGCTATGGAGTTAAGAAAAGAGAGGCGCCAAATGCCAGCCAGCGCCCCGATTATCGTTTTAGCCTAATGGGGTGCCAATTCGTGGTAAAGGCGTACGAGGAAAGTAGGCGATGGCGAGGTGCGTCCGCAAGACACGGAAATCCAAGCACTGCTTGACTGGACTCTGGTGTTTCATGTTCCTAACCTCGTGCCGTGACTGTCTCATCCCGCAGTCCAAGCTTTCCACTACAATCCCGTAACCTAAATGGCTGGGCGCTGCGAATCCACGATGCTGTCAGGTGCTGGTCCGGTTGTCCCGGTGACGGCACATCGGCCTCCAAGGGCCGCCAGTGCG